TGTTTTTATTATTTGTTAAGTACAATACAGCATAATCATCCGAAATTGATAGACTCTCTGATAAAGAAATAAAAAGCACATATCTCTTTTTTTTTTTTTTTTTTGGTGTCGCTTCATGGGGCGATGACTGTGAGAGTTCCTCTAGTTTCCTTGAGCCGTCGTTGTGACTTTTGGCGAGAGACTTCACCTGCCTCGCCTGCTGGTGGTAGGCTGCCATAGTAGCTCACCATCGAATGGGTGACTGAACTTAGTGTAAAGTACTTTGGATTCCTCTTAAGAATCTAGACAGAATATGGGTGTCAGGTATCAGCTGATACCCTTGAATAAAATCAATTTCAACAAATGCCTTCAAAAGTAACATGATCGGTAGATAAAATTCACTTGTGTTTGATATAATCTAAACTTATATTGATGGTATCCAACTATGAGAGTGAGTTACCTCAGACTGCATGAGATTTTAGAGAGGAGTAACTTACAAACTACTTGTCCTCTAGCTTTTACATGCTACCCAATGGCTGTTTATCATTGGAACGAAACAAAACACAACATGCGCCGACCTAATTCGTAACTTAACATGTAAGACAGTTAGATTGGACATGGAGAAAGGGACTTCAGGGTCAGTGAATGACAGCAGGATGGAGTCGGATCAGAGTGCGGACGAGGGAAGAATCCTGGAGGAAGTTGAGGAAGAGAAGAGTGATTGAGGACATTATGACAGATATGTAAATGGCGGAGAAAAGGACTGCTGAGAGTGGATGCTTAGGCTGGTGGAGGAGGAAATGTCTATTTGATGACATGTGCATTAGCATCTTGTCAGTGGCAGAGGGCCATGACATTGAGGGGAAGAGACACAGTGGGATGTGTAGTGGCTGAGTAAACCACTATAAGGTTATTTCTTGTCTCTTACCCTCTGTTTATTTCATATAGTTTGTCAGCTTTCCTTTCCTCAGGATGCCCTATTTTCTCTGACTGAAGTTTCTCCTTCGGATGAACCTCAGACGTCCTCATACTGTTTGTAATGTATTTTTGATGACGTCCTCGTCATGTCCCCGCTCTTCACAAAAAGGGGGAAATAGCGTGGATTAGTCATTAAATGAATCACTTTTCAGTGGCCAAACAATTACTTAAAATACCAAAAACAGAGGAAAACCTTCAAAAAAAAGTCTTTTAGTTGAATAAGACTGGCTGCAAACCCATGAGAAGAATGTGTGAGTGTGCAACAAGATATAAATGGCCTTAAGGGTTTCTACATAATATTGAAAGGCCTGGGAAAATGTTACATTTTTGAAACGTGTTTTCCAGGTGTGGATTAAAACAGAAAAATGAATATTAGCTTAGATTCATCCATTTTTTTTTATAAATGTATCTAAGTCTGACTGCGACATTTAGCTATCTGAGTCTTAAATATATAGATGTGTTGGAGACTACTGCCCATCAGCTTGCTTTCAGTTACCATGGCAACTGAACGCAGCCTCACAGACAAACTTGCTGACCAAGGAGTGTGATGTTTGACACAACTCTATTAATATGTACCTGACAAGAGAATTAAATTTTGTCATATGTTTTGGATATTTATGATAAGATAAATAAATTACTACTTTTTTTTAATTTAAATACTAACTTTCTAGATCACATAATGTGTTTTTAAAACATGGAAATTGACGCAGCTCTCTGCAAGATGAAGATGTTCTCATTCACAGTGCTGTCTATGAACAGTAACATTAGTGCACTAATCCAAGTAAGAATGCTGTCCTTTTTTTTTTTTTTGTATTGTATTACTGCATTGCAAATTAAGAGTGAGCAGTCATAGATATTATATCAGAGCAACAAAAGTGTTTCTTGTCTTTTATGTCTGCATGTCGTGTGTTGGGGGGCGTCTTAAGCAAATGCCCAGGCAGCATGGCTCAGCCTGTTTTTGTGTGCCCACAAAACAGGCATCGTATTGACAAACTAATTTAGCGCAGCCATAGTCACGATGAGTCATAATGAAATTTGTAATGTACAATGAAATTGATTTATCACAGAACCATGCATGTCTTTATTTGCATCAAGAGGAGGAAATGCTGTTGTTTTCTGGCGTGTGACTGCGACTGGGGGTACGTTTTTTGTGTCACATAGTTGAAACATCAAAGCATCAAAGGTCATTTAGAGAAAAGTTAGAGCACACTCACACCCACACATCAAAAGGAAACATGTATATACCGCCGAGGAGGCAGGCAAAGCCTGTGTGGTTGTCATGAATGAATTGCATTTATTTCTTTTTTCTCCCGCATCCCTTATTCCCTCCACCACAGCTGGAAAAGCAAATGTCAGTGAGTTGTTAATTGCTGCTGCTCCGTCTCTCAAGCCCATGTGCCCTAAAGAGCACATGAGGATGTCCACTTTGCATGTGTGTGTGTGTGCGTGTGTGTGCGTGTGTGTGACCTTGTACTTGATATAATGTAAGGACCGTTTTTCCAACAGATACTACTCTGTACGGTCCTACTGCTCCCGGGCAGCACAGTTATGTTTAGGGTTCGGTATGTACTGGTAATGGTTAGGTTTAGGGCAAGGGTTAAGGTTAGGCTATAGAAATGAATGAATGAATGAATGAATGAATGAATGAATGAATGAATGAATGAATGAATGAATGAATGAATGAATGAATGAATGAATGAATGGCAATGCCGTGTGAGAATAGAACAACATGGTGTGTGTCGGTGTGTGGATGAGTGTGGGCGTGTGTGTGTGTGTGTGATCTGGGCTAAAAAGGCAAAGATGACTAAGTGCACGTTTCGTTATGTAACTAATGTCGGTATGATTCAGAGCTCCATTAACACTTTAGACAGTACATTCAGAAATTGTTCACAAACAGCACATTACTGTGTTTTAAAGGCACGACAAGACAGTCCTACTGGCCACCTAAATAGAAAAACGGCACAACAGTTAAAGGTAAAAAGACAAAAAAAAAATATATATATATATACAGTATATGACCTTTTGCAGACATGTGACGCTCTGATCCAAACTTGCCATGGCAAAAGCTTGAATCAGTTTTTTCTTTCTTTTTTTTTCACAAATAATGTTAGAATCAGAATAAGAAATATTTGACCTGATTAAAAACTAAGAAAGTAAGACAGTAAATAAAAAATAAAGGCAAAAGCATTTTCCCAATGAAGGTAATCCAAAAATGTAAGAGTTCAAACATAGGTTCCAGTTTTAAAATTTCACTGCAACAGGCAGGAAGGATTCCTTGCACAGCTCTGTTTTACACAGTGGCCATCTGAATAACAATCAACAATCAATCCATTGATCCGTTGATGTTGCAGTGAATGTGAAGAAAAGTTCTACATCGTCCTGATTTTGGACAACATTCTCCTCTCCAGCCGCAAGGAATGTAGTTCATCTCATAAAACAGGACTGGCCTTCCAAATGATTTTGTTGATCTTGTTGATGTCCTTGACTCTGAAGCCATATTTTTGATGAAAAGCATCTTTTTTAAGTTCTACTTGAACCCCAGCCAAGTTGGACACATTGCTGCTTCTTTTAACTTACGTAGCTGAAATCTGTTCCTGCAATCAGCCAGGGAAGGAAACAAGGTAATCCCACCCATTGGATCGTCCAGGACTTGTCCTACACAGTACATAGGCAAGTTATGAGCCCATATACTGCATAGGACAACACAGACAGATAGATAGCACTGGGTTGAACACTGTAATAGGCAAACTTGAGAAGTCCGAGTCAGAGCTTACCTGAAACTTATTTTTTCTTCTCACTTATTTGTTCTGTTGTTGTTTACAACTTTGTGACTGCGACAATTTATCCCTCTTGTCATTGTAGAAGTGTCAGCCTCCACTGTTTACCTGCGTGTGAGTGACAGTAAGTAAGGCTTGATGCGTTTCAGTCTCAGCCACGTTTAAAAGCAAAAAGGTGACAGCACCCAGCCCGGTATGAAGCTCGACACACATTCTGACAAATGTTCCTCCCAAAATCCTTCCAAAGGTTCAAGACTCAGCGAGAATAGAGAAGTATAAAAAAAGATAAGATGGATTTGGGGGTAATATTGTATGTGAAAGCTTTGCTTCTGCCATGGAATGCAGGATGAGGAGAGAGAAGTGAGCATAACAGAGACAAAGAGAGACAGAAAACAAAAAGAAGACAAATCGAGGCAAATGCAGGGAGACAAGGTACAGGCAAAGAGTGAGCATGAAAGAGGATCTGTCTCTACACCCTTATCCACAACAGAGAGTGATAGCAAAAGACAGGGGAGATGGAGGAAAAAGAGGCCAAAAGTGGAAGCAATGTTCTTCCTCTGGGTTAAGTGGTACGCTTATCTGTGGTTCCTCTTCAGACTCTGAGCCTGAAGGAGAGCATTTTTCACCAGCTTGTCCCACTGACTGGGTGAAACAGATGAAACCGATCCTGTTTGTTGAGGGAATGCTAATTTCACGTCACCGCTTCTTGTTCTGCTTTCTCCGGGTTTCTGTTTTTGTTTTGTCGAAACAGAGATAATGGGAACTTTGGCCCCTCTGGTACTGTCCCATTTTCATATTCCCAGTTTGCTCATCAGCGTGTGTGCGTGTGCGTGCGTATATATCCCTTTCCATGCATATGTGAGTCAGCAATCCGCTATATAACATATTTGGGGGGATATGCATTTCAAAATAGAGAGTTAGAGTTTGTATGAAGTAATTGAAATTAAATGGAAAAAAAAAAAAAAAAACTTCACCCTGATAATCAGTTAATGAAAACTAAGAAACAAAATATGCAGCAAAATGTGAAATCCTCACACAAAAATTGTGAAGGTTAAATTCAAGATTATGATAACTGTGGAAAACAAAGAATGTCAGTAAGTATCGCTGTCATGCCTTTATGAAATTCTTTGTTCTTGACCCTTATTTGCTGATATATCTTTGTCAACTCTGTTGTTCATAGATACACACTTCTTTCTTGGGTTATACCTGTTCAGGTGTTCAAACAAATCAAGTTTCAGATAATCACATTATCGTCAGTGCATCTAGGCGAGTGTGGTGAAGACAACTTAAGTTCAAACCAAGCACCAGAATGAGGAGGAGACGTGAAAGGCTTTGAAAATGACATCATTACCAAATGAATTTGTCTGTGTGTATCATATAACCACATCTTGGGTTTACAGAAAACTATATCCAAGGAGCCGCAGATGTGTGGATTGAAATGGCTTATTAGTATCATAAGTTTTAAAAGAATGGGCAGATGGGATTGAGGTTATACAAGAGCAACAGTTGCTTAAATAACCACTTGCTACAGCCGTGGTATGTAGACGGCGCTCTCTGGATGCACACGTTTCAGAGAGGTGAAGTAAATGAACACAGAATTAGACGAAGCACAGCCCTATAACAGGTGCCTCTCCTATCAGCTACCAGCAGGAGCCTAAGGCTAAAATCTGCACAGGCTCACCAAAATTATATAGTAACAGCTTGGAAAATGTTGCCTGGTCTGATGAGATTCAAGTTTATTTGCCACTTTCTGATGATAGTGTTTGAATGTTGCATAAGCACCATAAAAGCATGAATCCTCCCATCCCTGTTTCTAGCTGACTGTAAGTGACGGTGTGTTGCAGTTGGAGCTTTTTTCAATAACAATAGCACAGCCTCACTGAAAATGTGATGCATGTCATGATATTTCTGTCCACGGTGAACCTGCATTTTGATGGCAAGATTCAGAAAGGACTGAATTGCTAAGCTCAAGAGTTTTCAAACATTTTCTTTAATATTACAGTAAGGTTCCTGTAATCCAGGCTCAAGAATCTCTACTGTCACAAAATCTTAATCTGAATGTGCAACCATCAAGTCCTCATTAGTTAGTTACATCATTGATCCTGAGGGAATTACAATGTAGCCTCTTTTTACACATACATAAGACCATTAGCAATAGTGTGATGATATGAAGCAAAAACTCTGATAAATATTTTAGCTCAACTTTACTCTATTTAGATTTAAATGAATTTTGAAAGCAAACAAAAGTAAAAATCTGTACAGACAAGGTGTAAAAAAAAAACAAAAAAAAGTGACTTGTGAGTCTGGACTTTATTCATATTTTCATATTTTTTTTTATTTTTTTTCATGTCATGAACTACTGACTGCAAGAGGAAAATATTTTTGAGTTTTAAAGAGATGTTTAAAGACCAAGCCCATGAGCTTACTCATCATTGCAATGCAAGACACAGCAACAGTGATGCAAGATCAACAGCAAAATGCTGAAGATAATGTCAAAGCGTTGCAGTGATTGCTGAGTGCTTTGAAATTGCAGATCTGACAACCATTATAAACACAATAGGTGACTGATGACAATAATGGGTGAGTAAATACCACTGTAACCCATCTTACGTCTGGGCAGTAACGTGTTAATACTCATTAAACTGAGTGAATTTTCCTTTCAAAGAAGAACTTAGTCTTTGGCTTAATAAGATAAAGGTTATATTTCAGTGTAATGAATTACTGAGGCAACTAGCACAGTGATTAAAAAGCAGCACAGACAGAGCCTTGTCAACAAACACAATTGTGTCAAATTTCCCTCCCAACCAAGGTGAAAGTGGATATTAGCTATTGTTATTCCCCACAGGCTATTTGTGGTCACTCAGTGGGTGCTGTCACCAGGTGTGCCCGAATGAGCAGTGGCCTGCCAAGGAAAATGTGAAAAGCACCCAGTTAGCATTTGGAAGCTGTCGAGGCTTAAATGCTTCAGTTAGCTCACTGTCTCTTGTCTCTCGTCTGTTTTTGACCACTAAAGCCGTCATTTGGCTGCTTCCCATTGGGAAGCCTCTTCTTGACCTGCTGCCTGAATGCATAAAGCAAACAAAAAGAAAAAGCCAGAAACATCCAATTTTAGGAAGGATACTTACCAAATCATCCAATTTTTTGTTGCTATTTGAATGTTTTTTTTTTTTGTATTGTTTTTTTTTCTCAAAATCTGTTCAAAATAAAAAAAAAATAAAGCATTTTAAACCACTTTGAAATCTCACCAACCTGTAATTAATTCACAGACTCACAACTTTTCTAGGAATCCATTTGCCACCTGGAGACCCACAGCAGTCCTGCTGTGTTTGAGTTGATGTTTGCGCTTGTGTGGCTGTACTTATTGTCCACATCATTAGAATCAAAGAACATGTTTGCTTGGTTCTGACAATATTTGTAGAGGTCCTGTGTGTACACACAATAGTGTCCCCACTGACCCTCAGGAGGACGAGTGTAAATTTGCAAGAAGCATGACTGATGAATGTGTTTCCATATCCTTGGCAATTATTCTCACACTGTGTTTGTATTTGTGTGCATGTTCATAACATCGTGTTTGATTACCTTGAGTAACGTCAATAACGTCCAAAGTCATTGTGGCATATTATTTTTTATATTTTAAAAACCTGACAGTGTAATCAATGATACAAGTAACAGTAGATTCTGAAGGAAACAATCAAATAGAAATCATTTTGTTTAGTTAGTCCTATTCATAATGTCATTTTACGATATTTTGACCATGAACATAGACATCACACAATTGTTTATGGGAGTAATAACAGATGCCACCATCTAGGAATCAATTTCAAAGTTTATTCAGAAATGGCAGAGCTAGTAGCAACATCGCTTTGAGATGCATTGACTGCAACTTCTGCACATCTCCAAATGCACACCTGGTGGTGTATTTGGATGTGATGTGCTTCACTGACATGTGCTTCTCTCATAATTTCACATTGAGGAAGAACTTTCATTTAATCTATCAGTGCCTCTCCTTAAGACTCTCTCGACAGAACACTTTCTCTGACGACGTGAAAGTCAGACAAAATATGACATGACCATTCATTCATTCGTCACATTTCAATGTGTTTTTATTTATATGTACAGTCTAAAAGCAACCACAGCCGACACAAAATGATGTACACGCACTAAAAGAAGAAACTAAAAGAAGAAAGCTTCTGAGATTATCACTGCTTATGATATAAAAAACATGTCAAAGAGTCAAAAAATAACTAAATTAAAGAAGTTAGTGCTTAAGTGACTAAATAAACATTGGCTACGGATATTATTATGAGTTGTTTGAGCTTAAAAAATAAAATATATATGAAATATAAAATAAAAATGTGCAATGCCTGTATAGAAACTAACGCATGAGTTTATTTGTTAATGCAAATAGATGTGATGGCAGCATTTTCGACTATGCAAATCCCTGAACTTAAGAGGCAGCAGTTGTGTTTCACCTGACAGTTGAAACAAAATCTCAATTACCCGCACTGATGAACATAATGCGAACGTGAATTTATGCAAACATTTACACGCATTTATGGTGTTACCGTTGTGCTGGATGAAAACCAGCGAACATGAAGAAGTCCATACAACAGCTTTAGCAGTTTTCCACAGCCCTGAATGTTCCCCTTTTAAATTTTTAAGACTTTTAACAGGATTCACCAGTTACGGATTCTGGTACCAAAGTCATTACATCAGTAGTTCAGTCAGTATTGCAGGGCTTTTTCCCCCACATTCAACCTCTAATAGTCTTGCTTAAATAGATGCAGACAACACCACTGGACAGTGTATTTATACATAAAGCTATACAATCAAGCAATTGTTTTTACATATTAAAGTCTATTTTACATAGACAATTTACATCACACTACCGACTTTTAAATAATATGCAAAACAAACTAAGTCATATAAAACTAATGCTTCAGTCCACTTCCACTCTCATCTTGAGTCCAATTATCTGCAACAATGAGGTGGACGATTAGAGAATTAGGCTGTCATGTGTGCACCCCATGAACCTTGGCTTCTGGAAGTTGACCTCAAAGAGAGATTGGTTAGTGGTCATCAAACTAAAACCATAAAATTGACCATGTATGTGTGCACCCTTTTTAAAGTTTCACAAAATTTTGCAAAATACTCTTTCTTGCATTAAGATCGAATTACAATAAGGCGTCTAGTGTGAAGGGAAAAAGGTTTTGTTATGGATCTTACATTCCTTGATTTGCAGCTAAGCTGACCACAACATTTTCTAAGGAGGAAAATCGATGTAAAAAAAAAAAAAAGCATTGTGTTTTTTTGTGGCAGACCTAGCTGCTAAAAAAAAAGAGAGACTAAACAGAAAAAGCAGCTGGACCTGTAATTTCTTTAATTATTGAATCCATCTTTCTTTGTGTACAAAATGGAAGCAGGTAAAAAAAAAAGGTTGTTTCTTTAAATATTAGCCAGTCAAACAGGAAATGGGTAGAAACATGACACAGCTGGAGGCACGCTACGCATGAGGACCTGCTTAAATCTGCTCTTGAGATGTGAAGACTGCTCTTGGCTCCCTTGGGTACTTTTACAGCCTTCATTCTGTCAAAAGATGGCACTAGTACCACACCTGGTATTTTGTTAAACAATAAGAAGGAAGAAAAGGTAGAGGGGGAAAAAGAGAGACAAATAATAATGGAGAAACTCAGCCATTGAAAACACTAAGATAAAGTATGCAAGGGTACAAAGGATAAAAAAGCTGTATAAGGATTGCACATAGTAGCAAAAAAAGGAAAGATGTGAGTTGCATAACAGCCTGATCTTGCTAGCAGTATAATTTATTTAGCACAGCAGATTGGGCCTAAATCTGGACCTGTTTTTCATGCAGGAACTAATCAGTGACTACTCGTGGGGAAAGAGTGATCATTTTACGGCGCCCCTCTCCTTGGACTCAACCTAAAAATCAAATGTGACTCCTGCTCCGGTGAATACAGCCACAGCAGTGGTGTAAAGAAGCACATTTCTTCACACCGTAAGTGCTTGTCACAGTCACTTAGTATGCTATTGTTGCAGGACAGTAAGTGGAAGAGGAGAAGATGCTCATTCTGACAGATGGAGTCCCTGATTGCTTTCGCTTATCATATCTGATAGACTCACAACCTCTAGAATACCAAAAACATGCAAATACACAAGTGCTGAATTCAATTTGACTTTCAAACAAGTTGGTTCTGCAGTTTCTTTAGGGAATGTTCTGTCCTACAACAAAACACATGCATGTTGATATCTTCATTGTTGACACAAAAATATTAAAAGTGATGATTGTGCATTATTACTTTGAGAAAAAAAAAACAAACAAACAAAAAAAAAAAAA